CCCAGCCACTATGTGACCTTCAGAACACATAAGGCAGGGTGCAAGCACAAGCAAAGAAGGTTTTCCCACACTTCAGATGAGCCAGGAGTGATGCAATCCCACTAGCTCGGCCCCGTACCTGTTAGATGAGTGTTAGACACATCCAATCTCATTGTCTGATCACAGAATCTCACTGAGTCACACAGCTGCTGGTTAGCAGAGCAAGCTTATGTCTGTCTGCCAGATATCATATCACTCAACAGTGTCTGTATTTATAGTTTTCCTCCTCTGCCATGCAGCTGACTGGAAATCAATTAGCTGAGCCCGTATGTCCTCCTGAGAAGCTGAAACATTTCTGAATCTGCCTTCTTTTAAAATAGAAGCTATTCATTCTGAACAGGCAAAAACTTCCTTTCAGTGTCAAAAATTTCCAAAGACTCTTTTACTCTCAGCAGTTACAGTATAGTTTAGACTCTAAATCCACAGTTAATTGCTTTGATAGACCCACAAGAGCATACTTCAGAATATTATACAATAATTATTATGCTAGGATGCTGGAGACGGGCTCTGCATCAGTGACTGTAGTGATAGCACAAGGGGCAACAAGTTCAAAGGTAAACAGAGGAAGTTCAGAAAGCAGCTCAGCAGGAAAGGGCCCTGCATTTAAACGGACATGTTGAATGTTAATGTTTAAAGGTAACTCTTTGGCTAATAAAAGAAAGCAAAAGAAAATGGATGACACCAGTAAAGTGAAAAATAATATCAGGAAGCAAATAATGAGGTCACTTATAATTTTATTGCAGCATAACCAAATAAAGATCAGAAGAACATAGCCCCACAATATTAGTTCTTTATATTAAAGGATGAATAAATCCAATTTAATGAACTGCATCACTTTGAAAAGTAATTTCTGCTTGCAAACAGAAGAGGTGTGCTGCAAATTTTTAGCTATTCTGGCAGAGCCAGCAGAAAAGAGAGCTTGGAAATAAGTATTTGTATCTTCCATAGCACTTTGTGGCCACTGCTGCTAGTGCTACTTCTGCTTTGGGCACTGCTGCTGCTGCTGCTGCTGCGGAATGCTCTTCACAGGACACTTGGTTTGCCCTTTTGGTGCCTGGGATTGCTCCACACACTTTGGAGGACACTTTTCCTGGCATTTTGAAGGTATCTGCTGCTGCTGTTTCTGCTGGTGGGAAGACATCTTTTCTAAACCTGGAAGGAAACCAAAATGCCATTTCTATTATTTTAAACCCTACACACTTCTTGTTCCTGGATATTAATTTCAGTCAGTTCTTTAGCTTTGAGATCAAATCAACAGTGAAGAATCTATATAGGTTAATAAAGGCAAACCCACACAACTGACCCCCAACCCCACTGTTGGAAATCCTTGAGGAGGATGCCGTTCAAACCAAATTCCTGTTGGTGACTCCGGTCTGCTGCAGCTGCCCCACAGTTTCTTTTTCTGCACTCCTATTACAATTAGTCTCTATGGAGATCAGCCACACTGCTGAGGCATAACTGTACATAAGCATAAATGAGTAAGAGGCAAGCACCCTCTTAACAAAGTTGTGATCCAAACAGGTGTAACCAAACAGGCTACAGAGGTGGATGGAAGAGAAACAATGACAGGGGTTTCCCTTCTTTCCCTCTGCTCACTGTTTTCTGAACACTTCAGCTGTGACAAGCTAAAAAGCAATACAAATTTTGATGAAAGCATGCTTAGTTCAAGGAGAACCTCAGAGCAATATTTAAAGCTAATCAAAGAGGAGCAGAAAGCTAGTGACATTTAAGTATTGCAAATGGTTTTGAAAGGAAAAATGATTTGATAACAATCCCTTCCAGCAATGCCTTGTCTCTGCTTAGTTTATTGGCAGAAGCCCTGTCTCTGGCTGTTCAATGCCAGGGAACTGTCCTCCTCCTCAGTGGTGATGCAGTTTTATACAAAGAAGTGAAACTCAGAGCCCAGGAGATCCAGGAGACTGCAGTGACCAACCCACGGCTGCTTGATGGGTACAAAATAAGGTGCTGGCAGATGCCATCCTTTAGTAGCTGATACTCAATGCCCAATGGTTATCCACAAGCATTCTTATCAGTTGGGAGAAAAAATTATGAGGGTTGACAAGGGCTTCCTGGTCTAAACAGTTAGCAAGCCATTGTCTAGAGCCTCAGAAAGTCTCAACATAACACAGCTTTCACCTGTATGGAGATGAAATTGTCAGGGAGAGGAACTGAAACAGTTACAAGACAAACAAAGAGAAATCACACTGTCTCCTGAGAACAGGGCATCATAAACCCCCACTTCTATAGCTAAATGTGCATAGGACTCACCTGATGTCTCCTGCTCTTAGAAGAAGAGAAGAAGAAGGCACTCAAGTTAACAAGCCTCCCAAATAGGAGGCTTTTATATGCTTCCAAAAGTCAGCCCCAGGAGCTGATGACAACAGATTAACTTGATGACCAGAATCTTTCACAACCAGAACTTGCTCCACTGACACCTCCATACACCTGGACTTCAGTCAAGGTCTGTGAGAGATGTTTCCTCTTTCAGGTGCGGGGGATTTGTTGTTTTTAATGTAAGGCACACCCAATCTGGTAATAACTGGCTAATTTATTAATAATTAATCTTCTCTCAACCCTGGGCAAAGATCCCACAAATGAAAACAGGTTTGAGAGATGTTCTGTGTTTGGCAGTCTGGGTTTCTGGGTTTTGCTCCGATTCTTCTCTATTTTCCTTCCTGAAAAGGGGAGTGAAACACTTGATATTGCCAAGAAATTAAGAAGCTTTCCCCTAATTTTTTTCTTGTGCATTCACATAGCTTTTCACTGAAGCAACTAGAACTTATTTTTTGTAAACACTGTGGCTTGCTGAAGTTGTGTCAGGATTTCTTTTCTCTGGGTTTCAGAAACATGTTGGTCCCCTTGAAACTTTTCCAAGGAAGGAACAGAGAGGATGTTTCAACTGAAATGATGTTTATAGTTCTAATGGAAAAAGTAGTTCAAGCCTCTCCTGACTATTCATCAATACTATGCCCTGTAGGATCATATTCAACCTAATGAATTACAGCCCAGTTTCCATTACATATGTGAGATACTTGGAGAGATGACGGACGTGGCTTCCACTGGGTGTAGGAGAGCAGAAGGTCTTAATGGAAAAAAGATCATCCCATATCTTAACATCCCTCACCCACCCCTGATTTACCAGGGGTCTTAATGACCCCCAAGATTGACATGGCACAAGTGTCACTAATTTGTTGTAAATACACAGGGGAATCTCAGCAATGCACAGAACTAACCACAGGTGCGTAGGAGAGCCATGTGTCAAGGCTTTTGCAACAGCTTTCCCACAGGCACAGGAAGCATGATGAGCATAAACCAACAGGTCTCTTCTGCCACTTCCTCTGGGGTTTTCAGCACCATGTGCTCCTGTCTGTGATTAGTGTGGCTGGTGCAATGCTCACAGCAGAGAGAGAAAGAAGAAAAAATTTAAATGACTAATGCAGCTGATAGAGATGGATGAAGATGCTTGGAATTCTGTCATAGATGACTAACCTATGGGACAGACCTCATTAGTAGTTGCATGTGACTTCCTGACTAAGACATTTTCCATGCCTGAAAGTGGACACTGACACTACACATGTGGCAGCAGCAAGCAGTTATTAGCAAGGCAGTGTTCACTGCTGAATCCCCAACGGTTTGCATTCAAAAGTAGGAATTAGACGTGCATGTTCCTAGTCTTCACATCCATTTTTGTGCTGTTGAATATCTGGTCCACCTCCCCTTGTTTTGTCTATCTGAACTGAAAGGTGTGTTCAGGTGTAAAATGTTTGCTTTACTGAGTCATGTTTTTCTTATCATTATTCCTCTTTGATGGTGTCACCTTTTGGTGTTGACAGAAATAACACAGTAAGAAATCTACTGTAAAAATCTCTGCACCTGCACATAAGGTTTCATTAAAAGCTGATTTGGTAACAGTGTTTACACACTGCTAAATATAACCCTTTTCTTTTCTAGATTAGATATTCTCCACCCTTGCTATAATGATACGGTACGCGGATAGCAATTCTCTACATCCCAGACATGGAAATTGTGTGGCCATCACAGAGACAGAGGTAAGCAAGTCACATGCACCGTCCAAGAGACAATGAGAGCATTGTCTCTGAAACTCAGCATTTAGATGGGTATAATGTCCCCCCAGACAATGGGCTTCCTTCTGTTTCAAAATTATTACTCCAAATAAAGAAGATGCATTTATAAATGAATTAAAGTATTACTGCACCTGCCAGGCATTAATGAACTGAATTAATGAACCAGAATGTCAACCAGTCTATCAGTCATGGATGTGACTTCTCCTCATTGCAGATGGTGAACAGATAGGGAGCAAGAGAGTGACCTGCCTAAAGCCATATAAAGTATCTGCAGCAAACTTGGGAAAAAATCCTGTGAACTTGCAAGACTTGGACCTGTTCCTGAACCACAAAAAGATTCATTTCCTGAAGCCAGATCCCCTACTTTCTATATTCAGTCAATGAAGAAGAATTAATCAAAAATACCACTTTCATTTCCAACAGAGTGCTTTTAAGAAATAATTCATACCTCAGCAAGAGCATTTTAACTCCTTCTTTCTTGGATTTGTGGCTTTCTTCCACTTAAATATACCTTCTAATGGCGTCTAATATTTTCCTCCAAAATCCAGAGATACAAAGATCAAAATGTAATCATTAATAAATGTGAAAATTTAATTTCTATCATTATTTTCACATGGGATAGAACTCTTCTGGTTTTGTATCTGTCAGAAAAGTATTGACCAGATGATGTTTTGCCTACAGTGTTAAAAGACGTTGCTCCACATTATAATGCATTCTTTCCCTGTTTACAGCACTGCATTGCAGGTACAAATTGTCCACAACCACAGCAGTTTTTTTAAATGGAAACTGAAGGAAGATGTTCTTGGGCCCAATGACACTGAAACGAGGCGATGAAAGAAAGACATACGACACATGATGCCATCAATGGTCAATTTTTATTGCTGCACATAGACAAGAGGACAAAGATTAAAAGACAAACTGAGAAATAAAGAACTGAAGGGGAAGCATCTTCCAACATCAACTGTTTACAGAACAGACCTTGCTAAATAACTTCCCAAGATGCCCAGCAGTATAATTATTGGCCAACTGCAGTTACCAAGAAAGAAGTTGCTGAGATAGCAGTAGCAGAAGTATCATAGCAAGCAAAGGGTGGAAACATTCAGACAAATGTTTTCCAAGACAAAGAGAGCATGGGGTAAACAGATCAGGAGAAGTCTCAGTATGTTGCAGATGGGTCTATAACGTGGTTTTCGTTCCATGGATGCTTGTGAGCCTATGGATATTGCAATGCACTGAAGCACCAGGGCCGCAGGCTAGGCTCATGTGTTAAGGTGATCAGCACGGCCGAGAGCAGACAGTGCTACATGGCTCCAGGCACACCGTCTCACATGAATCAACACACTTGGTGGTACACACCTCCACGCATGGGGGTGGGCAGGGCTCCACACACTTGCTGCAGCACTGGGTGGCACAAGGCTCCACACACTGAGTGGTGCACTGAGTGGCACACGGCTTTACACAGACATCAATGCACTTAGGGGGGCAGACCTCCACACACTGGGTGCTGCAGGGCTCCACGCAGGTGGTGGTGCACTGGGTGGGACATGGCTCCACACACTGGGTGGTGCAGGATGTGGTGCACTGGGTGGCACAAGGCTCCACACACTGGGTGCTGCAGGTGGTGGTGCACTGGATGGGACATGGCTCCACGCACTGGGTGGTGCAGGACGTGGTGCACTGGGTGGCACAGGGCGTTGTGCAGACCTCCACGCATGGGGTGGGACATGGCTTCACACAGATGCTGTCACAGGGCTCCACACACACCGTCTTGCAGGGCTCCACACACTTGCTGCATTTCTGCAGACAAATGGGAGGGGGCAGGCAGGGCTGTTTGCACTGCTCGTAGTAAGACATGCTTCTGAGGTGCTGATAAAGCTGAAGACAAAGAAAAGAGATACAAAATCAGGGCACTCATCCTTTCTTCTTGAGCCACAATTCACAATCTGAACTCTTGCAGCATACATAAAAGTTAGATGTTGGACTAAGAAAAGAGCTCTCAGGAAAAATTACATGTCTGAACGATTTCTGGATTCAGACATATTCAACTACAACTGCCACATTATTCTTTCTTTTCTTGGGAACCTGCAAGTACCACTGTTAGGAAGACTACAGCCATAAACCCTGAATTTTATATAACCGCCCACAGTTAAACTTTGCAGAAGCCATAACATGAAAATAGTTCATGTCTTTATTTTCTTAGTTGTATCAGCAGACATTCCCAGGCCCAACTCTTTCATCGTCAGTTCCTCACAGAGCACATCTCCCTTGGTGTAGGTATTGAGCTGCTAATGCCCAAAGATAAAGACCAGAGATCAAAAATTCAGGCACTACTCGAAATCCTCCAGTTGTATATCACTGGAGTACATCACTGTACTATCGTCATGGTATATCATCATGGTACGTCACTGGAGTTGTATCAATATTAATGGGCTCATCCTTTCATAAGAAAAGGGTTAGCCCAGAGCTTACAGCTCCTATTTCTAATTCATTTCCTCATCTTGACTTGTCCCAGATGGCTCCTGCAGCTTTGCCCTCAGGTATTCTGCAGCTTCCTTCTTCCAGATAATGCTTCTTCCCACTCATCTCTTTGAAGTCCCAAAACTACTCTGCAACATCTACTAATCTATTTAATTTCCAGTCTTAAAGCCATATGAAAAAATTAATGAAGATAGAATAAGTAGGAAGATGAGAAGCAGTCACAGCTTCTGAGGAGGTGACAGGACATTTGCAAGATACTTAAGCAATAGTCAAACACCCTCTCCCACATTCCGGGATAAATCCTGGGACTGAAACACCAGAAGCAAAGCTCTCCTGTGATCAGTAATAAATTCTCTTGACCAGAACAATCAAGTAACACAGCCATTGCATTATTCCCTGATAAATCCAAGAAAGACTTACCGGTCCACCAGTGCAGGTGAGTGAGTGAGAAATCAAACGAACTGCTGTGAGCATCAAAATGCAAACCTTTTTATATGGCTTGCATGGCGTCATCTCCGGAAACAAGGGAGCCCAGGGGTATGGACACCTGACCACTAACTACCTCAACAGGCTCCACCTATACATGCTTTACATATTTGTTTGCATCCTAATTTTTGATGGAAACCCTCTTCCAGGAAAAGCATATGATCTTGAGTAAATTCTGCTTCTACCTAAACCCTGTGTCATGTGGTTCTAAATGAGAATGATAGAGTAATTAAAAAAATCAAGTGATGGATTGATTGCTCTTCAGAAAAGATTTAATATGCTTGGATATTTTCATCTCCTTATTTCCATAAATGTCTGGATGATACTTTAGATTGTTTTCAATGCAGTATGAATAGAAAGTTATTATTAGGGAAGATGGAAGATCTGATTTACTATGAGAAATAGCATGTCCTAATTCTTATGGTAAGAAGCAGCTAATCCTGGAGTGGCCCTCAGAGCTTCCACAGACTGTTGAAGTATCTGTTTCTCTAATAATTTTTTAATCATTAAATGCACCCAACCAATCCCTCTCCACACTCTCATTAACAACATGCATGCTCGGCAATGTCAATGGGGACGCACCTCTAGTTACCTTGAGGACCTCTTCAAGCCATTCAGGGCAAAGTAAAGGGGCATTCATTTTAAAAGCTTTTTTTCACTGCCAGAGCAGTGTAAAGAGCTTCAATTTAAGTGGCATTTAGGCCCAGGACTTTGAGTTAGCATATTGAAGCCCTTTGCTATTCACAATAACTCAGCTCTGCAGCACAGAAAACATGCGTGAATGCATCTAATCCTCCCTGCAGATTTTAAAACAAACCAAGAGCAACTAGCTCAGATTTAGGTGTGTAATAATTTAATAGATTCATCTCTTCCCATATTTTCCTCCTAGAGGTGACCCTGCTGAGTGATGCTGAGCAAGCAATTGTCCTCCAGCACTTTTAGGTCTACCCACATCAGCATCCTCCAACACTTATCTTGCTGATGAGTTTCTCATAGTCTGGTTTGTACAGTTCTTCATGCTTTCCTAGGGCTCCAGGCTCACCTCTAAAACCTAGGTGAGAACCGGTCCTACGTCTCCCTTTCCATAGTGGGTTATTTTATAACCTATTGTTATCTTTGATTAGCAAGAAATTGTAACAACTTCTGAGAGAAATGGACATTTTAGGGGATATAAATTGATCTGCCTTTGTAATATGTGGGGACATGAGAGGGCTGGATTATTATTCTTAATTGACACTTATTTGTGGGTCTCATATATATGAGCAATTTAGTCATTTGAATAGTCACCTTAACTGCAGTGAGTCAGGACATCACAGCAACATCCTTTCCTGTCCATTTGCCTTTGGCGAAAGAGCTGAAGTGATTTTCCACATCTGACACTTCTGGGATCTATTCAATTAAATGGCACGTGTTAAGGTCTCTGGCAGAACCACAGGCTGGTATGAAGGGTTATGCTTTGATAAAAAGAGCACAAAAGATTGCAAACCTGAAACTCCAGGAGGTTTCTGGAGCCCAGGAGGAGACAGACTCCCCTACCTGGAAGTCTGTGTGATGCTGCAGAAGAGGAGCCCACTGACCATTGTATTCTGGTACTCAGGACAATATTTCTGAAAAACTCAGTAAAGAAGAACATGGTCAACACTTTTGGATTTGAATAATCAGGGAGACTTCATATTTCACCACAAAGAGCTACTAAAGATGGAGGCTCATCAAGACTAAAGCCATTTTCCTACAGCTATAAAAATCTTCCCTGCGGACATGAAACACTGAATAATTAAGCAGATGAGAGTGTTAACATAAATACAAAACTTCAGGATGTGCAGATGTTATGATTTTTGATAGAAACATCTCAAACTGATATATTTCCCTTGCAGCTGTTTAGATATGCACCATTTTAAACTGTTCAGCTGGATTTCTACCAAGAAAAAAAGCCCCCTATTATCAACCACAGAAGACTTTTCTTTTAAAAATGTCGTACTTCTGGATTCATTGCTTTACCTAAAAACCTCCTAAATAAACTTCTTACTTTTTCATAGAAATCAAGAGATTCACAGCATGGTAAGACCTTCCCAGCCCACTCTCCTGCGTGTTATTGTATTTCAATCTCAAAGCCTGTAGCTGTATTACAACTGACTTTCACTTCTCATCATTCCCTACCACAACTACCTGGGGAAGGTGTGAGGGTGTGATCCAGCTCTGAGGGCAGCTTCCAGGTGGGGCAGGTCTCCAAGACTGATGGTCCATCCCTTTCCTTTGGAAACATTTGCATAGCTGAGATGCCAGGAGCCTGAACATAGAATGCAATTAGCCTCCCATGAAAACAAGTGGCTTGACTAGTCCATGCCTTAGGGACTATTTGATTGAGTAATAAGATCGTTACTTTGGGGGCTGAGAGGAACCCAAATACAGCACTATTCTGTGGGCAGGTTCCAGGTGGGGCAGGTGTCAAGACTGATGGTCTATCCCTCCCCTTTAGAAACCTATTCATAGCTGAGATGCCAGGAGGCTGAATGTGGAAGACTATGAGGATCCAATGAAAAGAAGGAGCTTGGCCAGTCCATGCCCTAGGGACTAGTTGATCGAGTAATGAGATTGTTATTTCTAGGCCTGAAAGGAGCCCAAATACGGCACTAGCCACCTCTTTCCTCTTTACTCCTGAAGGTGAGTGCTTCAGGAAGAATGAAGCTTCTAAGAAGCACTTTGGGAAATGCTTTTGGCTTTCCGAGCCCTTTCAAAAGCATGGCAGAGAAGGGCTTCCTCGTGCCATAGAACATCCCCTCTCCCAACAGTCGTATTGTATATCCCACATGAGTTCAAGTTTCCCCAGGGATATTCCCTTACACCTTCCCATAAGTTCGACCAGAAGCTACCACCTCACAAACATCAGGGATTTCAGAAGATACTCAAAGAGAAAGGGTGAGTCTGCAGGAAGGTCAGAGTGAAGGAAAAACATGCAGACAGCTGAGGCCAAGCGAACTTTTTTTATTATTGCTTCTCACAAGAATAGGAACAAGGTGGCAAGGAAGAACACATGGGCAAATTCCTCCAGCCACATCAGTACAAAGAGGAATTAGAGAATACCTCTCCCAGGCAATATCCTGGGGGCACAAAGTCACTTAGGTACAAGTTACAAGGAAAGGAATTGTTCTTTGATTAAATACAGCAGAAATGATGCAGAGCAGGAGAAGAAACTGTTGGAGGATTTACTCTTCTTAGGGCAGGAAGGGCACTAGGAAATGGAAGTCCGGAGAAAGATGTTGGCAAGCACAGGGATCAGCAAACCGTTTTCATTCCTTAGGCTTTGGAGAATCCACAGGACAATGGTAGTGCAGAGTAGGGTCACGTTGAGGCTGTCACCATGGGAGCCCCCACATGCAGAACCTCATGGAGCAACGCAGATACTTCATCAGACATCAATGAGACCCAGGTTCAAGAAAATGGTGTTGCCGTTGCTCCCAGCTCCACTGCATGCATTCACGCACCTCCCAGCATTCTGGGACACATAGTGCCCAGGCAAGTAAACGCAGATACTCCCAGCTCCACTCAGACATGGGACACATGAGACCCAGGTTCAAGAAAATGGTGTTGCCGTTGCTCTCAGCTCCACTGCATGCATTCACGCACCTCCCGGCATTCTGGGACACATCAATAGTGCCCAGGTTCAAGTAAATGGTGTTGCCGTTGCTCCCAGCTCCACTGCCTCCATTCACACACCTCCCAGGCTGCTGGGACACATCAATAGTGCCCAGGTTCAAGTAAATGGTGTTGCCCCTGCTCACATCCTTGCAACAGGGATCCACACACCTGGCATTCCGGAGCACATCGAGATTGCCCTGGTTGAAGTAAATGGGGTTGCCCTGAGGATTCCCAGCATTTCTATATGAATACAG